TAGCAAATGAAAACGTCATCAACGCTAGAACGAAACATATCGACATACGACATCATTTTATTAGGCAAGCTATTTATAGTGGTGAAGTGACGCTGACAGCTTGTAGTACAAATCTTATGTTGGCTGATTTTTTGACAAAAGGTGTGCCAAAGGATAAACACGTGTTTTGTGGATATGGTATTGGATTAAAATGATGTCGAGAGGGGGTGTTAGTGTGTGTGAATGAGTCACGTATATATATTGTAATGTGTACATCGCTTATGTAATGGTGACACCCAAACCTACTCGACCATCTGTTCACAACACTTGGTCGATAGGTAAGTGCACCAGTTTACAATATATAACTATCTGTTCACAACACTTGGTCGATAGTTCACAATCCGTCGGCGTCTGTACAAGAACTGAAGCTGTTATCCGGTGCCAAAAGCTTCGATTCACCGGAACTGTTCTATCATCAGAGACAAAGCTAGCGGTCTAACACTTTTCTGGTCCAATTGGCCGAGTCCCAACAACCTGCTCAGGACTCGGGTATCAAACCAAGGCACGGGTGTCTTTGTGTTTTAACCCCTATCCCCAAAGATGCCGACTTCCATTATCCTCTGAGCGTTCTTTACTCTCGCAGTAATCGTCAATAGCAGCTAATGGCAACTGACGCCAATTTGATTCCATTACATCCTCATATGTTAGAGTACAACGAAAAATTAGAATCTTATTTCGAATAACGTCCACTTGCCCACACTATTAGTCATAACTGGTGCGTGCGTCTTCGGAGTCCCGACAGACATGGAGTGGATACCTGGCGATGTAAAATTTTATCGATCGGAGTCTCTTTGCAAGCGATCTATGGAACAAGGACAAAAAGAGAAAAATTGTCCTTAAATCCCCCGGAGGAATACAAGATCACAACCCATGTCTCTCCAATAGCGATGGGCAACGTACAAGCTATTCTCGAGGATGTGTCTCGACGTCCACATATACGTCCATTGTCTGAAAATCCGCTGAAAACGACAATTGAACATTTCGTGGCGCAGGACAGGCAAAAGCGCATCAGAGAGTGTATTGGCACTCTACTAGCTCATTGATCGCCCTCCCGGGTATTCCCTATTGACATGTGATGACTGCGCGTGACCCCTTTTCGCGCGAATTGCAAACCCCTAATGGCCCCATGACCATTTTTAAAACCTTTCTCATTTCACTCAAACCGGTGGCAAGCAGGCCCGATAGCAGAACACCATACATCCACACCCCCAGCCATCGTCCACCACCATACACACACACCTCAACCCCATCAAAAATGACTAGTGAGACTGGGGTTGACAAGGTACGGGCAAAACTATTATCCCGAATTTTGCATATCCAAAACTATAACTGAGTGATGTTGACAGGAATTGATGCTGGTCATGAAAGGACCATCAACACTCTTCAAACGACTCAGCACTGGTGAATTTCGTAAACGATTTGAAGACTACTTGGAAAACAACGAGAAACCAAAGTTCCTCTACTTGGAAGAATATCTTCAATTGGCGTCCCGTGTCAATTTGAGTCGGCCTATCGAGCTGGTTAATGTTTCCGTGCGTCACGTGCAGATTGCGAAATTGGGGTTTTTACTAACGCTTGAAGTTGATTCGTGGAAATTAGATGACAGAAGACAAGGCGGCTTCAATCGGAATCTTTGTCAAGATTTTTTTTCCGGGTTTGAAGCTTGTTACAGAAGGTGAAAACACAAGGTGGGTCGCAAAAACATAGAGGTTTTCGGCGTGTTGATTTGTAAAATCATGGCTAAATTGATACATATTTTGATTCCAACAGTATTCCGTCTCTCAAAGTCAAATTGGCCGCTGATGTTGATTTACGAGTTGGGATGAAAGTGAGTCATTTTCGAATTTTGATTAAATTTTTTCATCGCGATACGTCACTATATACTCACAATTCCATATTTACGTTCAATTTTTTAGTCTATTGCTGAAACTCTCGCCACACAATACTTGAAAATGCGAACATGCGCTGAATACGAATGTATTCTCAACCCTGGTCGCACTCACATTGTCTTACATCTCTGCCCATATTGTCATGAAAAACTATGCACATTGCTTGATTGGAGCTCTTATACCCGATCCAAGAATTTGATTGAGTTTTACAAGTCTGAGAATCTCGATGCTGATGTTAATTGGGAAGAAAGTTTGTTCAAATATTTCAGTAAGTCACTGTTTGCTTTTATCGTATCTTACTTTAATTACGTTTAGTAGTTTGAAATCATGTTTTTAGACGATTCAATGAAGGCAACAGCATCTGTAAAACGAAGTCGTACTAGTGATGCTGGTGAATTCGTCCCAAAACCAGTCATCAAGAAGGCTAGACAATCACGATCTGACAAAGTTTCATACAGTCCTGAAGGAACTCCAGAGTAAGCTTGAACGGATTTGTATTTGGTACGGATTTGAATAACACACTACATACAGCAGCGTCAAACGATCAGCCAAGGAGTCCAACAATCCAAAAGCAGTTCGAGCTCGATCTTTATCTGCTCGTGCAACTCATGACAGCTCTGAAGGATCATCAGCAGAACCAAATGTCAGTGAAATCAAGTTCCGTGATGAAGTAAGTGATGTCAAGTTCAAACACCTTGAGTTCCTTGAAATCGTGATGAATCCCAAAAGACTCGAGTTTCCTGGAATCTTGAATCTAACTTGTTCTCCTATGCACACAGATCTGGGCATACCTAAAATCAAATGCTCGTGGCGACAGAGTAAACTGGCGCAACTTGCACTACTTCTTGAGCCAAGCTTCAGCATCAGTAGCTGACTTGGCTGCATCGGATGACCAAGTCTTGTCAGAGCAGGAGATGAAGGCTGATGCCAAACGTCACATGGCCCGAGCCAACAAGTGATGAAAATCTACCAATGTAAATAGTATCAGGATTTAGCAGCACGGAGTAGCAGGATATCAATGTTTACTTGTTGTCAATATCGTATTCACTACCTGAAATAAACGGAATTAGTGTATAACTTGGTGTTTGAACGTCTTAGAAGTTCAGCACAGTCTTTCAGCAAAGTTGATACTGCCCTTCCCAGAACGGGATTCTATAAGATGGAACAATTAACAGACGAATACTAGGAACCCGAAGCAACAACAACACGTTTCGTGCCAATGAGCAGAAACGAATACTCTGTCCTCAACGAGCATTCCAAAACCAGCCATTGAAGAACCACTAACAAAATAAAACCTCTCAATAGTTTTGAATAAGGTAAGAAGTGTATTGCATCTGTTCATGTGTGCGTGCAAAGGAGAAATCAAGATTACATGTTTATTGCATTTCAAAACGTGATACGGAATTTACCACGTTGTGGATCCTTTTCTTCATGCTCAAGAGCCATAGCAGTAGCTTCCTCTAGCGTGCGACGGATTTCTTTTCTGGCTAAAGAGAGTGTGTGCTCATCTGGTCCTTCAATCAACTATTGACGAAAGAGTATTGGGGTGGTTTAGGACCTTGAAAATATATATAGTCTCACATAAACAGAAAACAAACCAACGTACCAAATACAGCTTCCTATCATTTGGACCAGGATTTGTTCCGGGAGCGAAATACAATCCACGAGTAGTAATGGCAGCACCAGTACGTTCCACAATCTGAGAAATGTTTTCTTTATTGGTGACCTTCCATCTAGCTTTCTGTGGGAAATCATTGATTTCAATCTCCATGGCAAATGCTGCTTCAGGCTCTCCAGGTCGAGTACCCTTCTTGCCCGAATCGTTCAATATGGCTCGAGCAGCTAACCGTTGTGCTATAGCAGCTGCTTTGCGTCTGGCTTCATCTGGTGTATCAGCAGCTGTTATGGTTGCTTGTACCTCCGGTCTAAGACCAGTTTCGAGACCTGCATTACTAATTACGGGTATGGCCGGTGTGACGACAGGTGGTTGTGGTGATCCTGATAATTGTTCCTTCTTCATAGCTTCGACAATGGCAGATTTACCAACTGGTCGAGAACGGAATTTAAAGTCTCCATCATCTTCGAATATATCTTCCTCATCTGTTTCTTCGTCATCGTCATCAGCAGCTTCTTCACCACCATGTTCTCGTTTCTGCATCTTTTTGACTTGATCTCGTTCTTTATCCAGCTTTTCCAGACCTTTACCACCGAATCCACTGGCAGTAAAGGTAGCTTTACCATCTTTTACTTTGGCCATGAATTCGTCAGAGAGCTTTTGAGCAGCTTCTGGTATAGTAGCACCAGACATTTTCAGAGCCTTGACTATATCAACAGCATATCGATCTTGCTGTGGCGTTATAAATGTATATGCTTCTCCTTTATTGCCTGCTCTACCGGTACGACCACATCGATGGACATAGTCTTCCATATGATTTGGACACTCGTAATTTATCACAAGAGTGAGATTTTTGACGTCGAGACCACGAGCAGCTACCGATGTAGCAATCATGATATTGACATCACCAGCTTTAAAGTCAGCTATAGTCGAATCTCGATCCTGTTGATCTTTACCACCATGTAGAGATAGACAAGGATATCCACGCTTCATCAAGTCACGATATAAATTATCAGCGGCGTCATGCTGATTTACAAATATCAGACTCTTGGCATCTGCATCGAGGGCAGCTTGACGCCCTAGAATATCTAACAAGCGTACAAACTTGTCGTCCTCTTCAAGGACTTCCACATTTTGAGTCACATCTTTTGAGACTACCGATCGACCACCTACTACGATTTCTAATGGTTTGGTGAGGATTTTCCTAGCTAGCGCTTCCATTTGACGTGGAAAGGTAGCAGAGAACAAGACAGTTTGCCGACCAGGTCTTACATTATTTACAATCTTCATGACTTGAGGTTCAAATCCCATATCAAACATACGATCCGCTTCATCCAATACTAGGTATGTGACTCGTTTCAGATTCGTGACCCGTCCTGAGTTGGCAGTGAGCAAATCAATCATTCGACCAGGAGTACAAATGATGATTTCAGCACCCCGTTTCAGCTCTGCTATTTGATCTTTTATAGGTGATCCACCATAGGCACATACAGCTCTCAAATCCATGACTTTGGTTATATGTTTAGCATCTTTGTATATTTGTACGGCCAATTCACGAGTGGGTGTCATAATCAAGGCAATAGGACCATCTCCCTGTTCCAGAGGTCGTTGATCTTTTATATGTCTAAATAAGGGTAGAAGGAATGCCATGGTTTTACCAGATCCTGTTTTGGCAATGCCTATAACGTCACGGCCGCTCATGATGGCAGGTATAGATTGTGCTTGAATTGGTGACGGTTTTTCATACTTCAGACTACGAGTGACGACATTGAATACTACGGAAGGTAGACCAAACTGAGTCCATTTTACTACTGGTTTGGGAGGATTGACCCCTCGAATCTTGATACCATCCAATTCAGCTCGTAGCAATTCTACTTCACCAGGAGTCATAGCGGCCAAGTCCGGTGGTTCTACAAAGAAGTCTTTACGGATTTCCTCATAGTTCATAAGGGAATGATTTACTTGGGCAAAGTCCTTCTTCTTAGAGGCTAGTTGTTTCCTGACTCGTCCCATAATATCATCATCACTAGACTCGGCCTCTTCTTCTTCATCATTATCATTGTTGGTTTCTCCTTCAGCGACAGTGGTAGCATCGTCCACAGCCGTACCTTTGGATGCGATAGCTTTAGCATTTTCTTCTTCAACTACTTTAGCTACATCTTTATGCACATCTTCCATATATGTTTCGAGTGCATCGGTGACATCTTCTTGATTGTCCACGTCCATCTTCACTGCGACTGGTGTTTCATCCAGTCTGGGCAACTTTTTGGCTCGTCTTGATGACAGGCCTGACAAAACGTCGTCTTCATCATCGTCGTCGAGTGATACTTTAGGTTTGATTATAGTGGGTTTGGATGACGCCATGGGAGATTTGAATGTGATACTGCCCTTGACAGGTTTGCCTATTATACGACTTATTGGCTTATTAACTACAGGTTTTGTTGATACTGGAAGCTGTACTGGTGAAGCAGCAACAGGTGATTGAGCCCGTAGTTGTGGTGACGAAGCTCTTGATAATATTGGAGTCGTGGCCAAGGATTTGAGAACTGGAGCCATAGGGAGACCATTGACACTAGGAGAGGCTTTGATAGATTTGGAGTTAGTCAATGTCTGAATAATACGAGCGGATCTCGTCCTGCGCTCACCTAGACGAGATGTTGCATCTTCGTCGTCTTCGTCGTCATCCTCTAAATTCCAAGCTTTACGTTTACTATTGGCTTCTTCCTCATCTTGCTGCATAGCAGAAGCAGACGAAGCAGCAACAGCAGAGGCAGACTCGCTCTCAGCTTTCTGAGCTTCACGTTCACGACGCCATTGTTCCAATCTCTCTTTGCGTTGACGAACCTTTTCTTCATACGCATCCAGCTCAGGATCCTGTAGGAGAGTGTTGAATACGACATAGATGTACTTTAAATTATTTGATTTGCGATCACGTACCTTGACTACTGGAGCTGGTTCCTGGCGTACAGATGGTCCATCCGCTCGTGACGATGACGACTTCCTTTTTGAGCTCTTTACTTGAGAAGTAGAACAGGAGGAAGGAGCATCGTGGTTTTTTGCATCAGTGTGCATCGAATCTGAGCGCTGAGATGTTGGAATACCATCCATTACCGGAGGATTACTATTACTTCTTACCCCGTCTTCCGTTATGGGAGAGCCTACACGTTCACCAGGAGTTCTAGGCTGAGAAGACGATCTAGCATCCACATCCATTTCGTCCCGTAGCCTTGATGATCCTTCATCACGATGCCTTGATGATGAGCCTTCATCACGTCTTCTATCATCGTATCTGGACGATGGTCTTCTAGATTCATCACGACGAGACGACAGTTCCCGAGTACTGGAATCTTCAGGATATCGATCAGTTCTGGGACCGTCACGTCTTGAGCCTCGTTTACTATACGAGTCACCATCTGGGCGATGTCGTGATGACTGTTGTGATGTGTCGTAATCTCGACCATTAGTGCTTCTTTTATCTCGATGATCTCTATCTCGATCGCGTTCTCTATGAGAATCACGGTCTCTTCGGTCGTCTCTGTCATAGTCTCGTCTGTCTCTGTCTCTATCAGAAAAGGAATGTCTTGGTCGGTCGCCCATGTTGAAGCGAATCTATCAAAGTATAGTAAATATGAGGGGTCAAACTTGGAAGAGAATGTCAGAATGGTACCCTGCTTATAGTAGTTTGCTTTTTCCTTGTCAACGAAGGTCTCTTCCTTGTTCTTAGGCAATGCGATGATTGAAATTGTTGAAGAAAATTGGCGAGCTTTGAGAGCATGCGTAGCAAATTGAATAGGCAAAAGGAAGCTTCAAAACACGTTTATAAACGCGTAAAAGGCTTTTTGGCAAGAAGAAGTTGGCTCTTTACCCGCTCGCTAAGTCCCATTGAACGCCACAAACTCTCGTCTTTAAGAAGTCAAGACCATGAGGAAGGACATGAGCAGGACCCAAAATAGTCAGAAATGTATTTTTATAGGATACTTGGCATAGTATAATCATGTACCATACGCCCTCTGGGGGCAATAAGCATCAAGGAATCAACATCCCACATCCTAGACGAAACACGCTCTTTGTTGAGTCAAGCAAGGAGCTCGATTCACTATCATCTGGCGTCAAAAAGCAAACAAGACAGCATGCTGCTACAGATCTACCGCTAAATGTAAAGGATCTACTGGAATCTGGAGACATCATTGCATCAAAAGGACGACGAGAGGAAATTAGGAAACAATATGCACAAAACTCAAGGAGTCAAGTAATTGCAAATAATAGTAAACGAGAGAAATCTGCAGCTGCCACTGTCAGTGTCGAAGCGTTGAACATTCCTCCCGATCTTGTTCCAGAAGAGGACAATGTCCCATGTACTATCCAGGAAGAAGCTGAGGAACCAACTGATCCTAATCCTGTCTATGGACCTGTAGTATCAGTTGAACCTGTGCCTCCTGCTGTAACAGAGGCACCTCTCATTCCACAGCCAGAACCAATCTCGACTAGCAGCAATAGTACACCAGCCATCTTCAATAGCCATACTGAACCGAATGTGACAATAGATGTTGGTGATGATGATGAGAACATAAAATCAATCGACGACGTAGATGCTCTAATGAACAAGTATGCCAAAATGTTGGAAGATCGAATCAAAAAGTCGGCACATTCGGCCATATTTGAGGCGCAATTATCCAATTTCCGAAGTCAACATGGCCCTTATCAGAGTGTCATAGAAGAGGCAGAAGATGACTCAGATAGTCTAGACGTAAACAGGGAATCGGCAGCAAAACGACTCAAAATTGTAGATGACACTCCCCACTTTTGGGAACCAATGACGCACGAACGACATCGTCATCACGATCATGCTCACGCTCAATTTACAGAAAGAAATTATCCCGCAATACGGCAATCACGAACATCTGCGGTGGAACGACCAAAGTCTCGACCTCATTCGGCCATTCACCCATCTGTGCCATTGAGCCCCTCTCAATCACCAGTACACCCAATAGTAGTCATTACAGATGTAAATCGCGTGAATATGGAAGAGCTGCCTGGTGTTGAAGGTACTCGAGGTGGTTCACAGCAGGTTATTTTTGGCTGTTGCTGACATTGAAATCTGAATTATAGAATTATCGCCGAATACGCGTAGAGTTGAATTTGCAGCTCCCAGGCCTAGTAGGGCTGCATCAGCACGCCCGTCAGTTATGGATAAGGCGGCTACATCTGAACAGCCAACCAAACATTTCCGGTTTGCCAGTCAAGTCGCAACAGATCTACCTACTAGCTTGGTGGCTGAGTCAAGAACGAGACTCTTCCAAGGATCCTTGAGTGTCGATGGATTGGCAGTATCAGATAAGGATGCTGATTCAGCGTATGTGCCTTTTCAAGCACAGGTTAGTGCTCCTACAGGTATGTAAGGCGAATTCAAAAATCTCCCAGTTTTTTTTATAATATTGTCTTGCTATGGCCAGTAATTCGTTTGACGTAGACTGGAACAGCTCAGTAGCAGAATTGTCTGAGATAGGCTTTAATCTCAATGTAAGGTTTGCTAAAGCCCAATACCCAAGTCTCTCCTGGAATCTTTTAAACTCTCTCTCTCCGGCCTTGACCAAATTCTTGCCCAATTTCCATACTAGGTCGTTGGAGCCAAAATGAACGCAGTAGAAGCGGAATCATATCAGCTAGGTGATGGTGGCTGGACCATGGCCATAGAACGAGTGCGAGGCTCTACCGATGGTTCACCGAGTGTCTATATACCTGCACCACGATCAGCATCTCCTTCAGCTCGACCTTCAATGGTTCAACGTTTGTCGGCCGCTCGCCCTAGCTCTTCAGTGCGTCCACAGAATGACGACAGTATTCCAGATGCCAGCCGTCCTACATCTGCGAATAGTAAAGCTCGTCGAGTCTCATCAACTCGCAAGTCCGTAACATCCGAGCAAACATCTATACTGAAAAGGTCTGCTTCACCTGATAACTCTGCTATCAACACTACTGCGGAGAACAGGAAACGAGACTTTCCTCCACTTCCTCAATTGACCACGACCGTGGAGGAAAATGGCTTGTCTTCTTCATCGCAAGCATCACTTCAACCTGATTCACCCAAACCATTAGATCCAAATAATACTATAGCGAATCGAGGTCGTCCTCGTTCTCATAACAACACGATGGCACCATCGTCGTCATCACGTCTAGATGAATCCAATAGTAGAGCTGGAAGTGCTGGTCATCGTAAGAGAGATTGGTATCGTGTAGTGCATCATGGCCAACAACGAGATCGTGATCCAATGGAGGTTGAAAAGTATCCCAACTTGTATGATCCACCACTTGGTTTCAAGATCCCTGCGGAATTAATCGCTTCCTCTTTGCTCACTCCTGATCGCCTGGTATATGCAATGGAGACTGAATATGATGAGCATGGGAGAAGCAAAGCCCTGGTCGCTTTGATTTTGAAAGAGATTGGAGAATTGACTGACTTATTGCAGCTGACTGGTGGCCTGGGACCTTCTGAAGTGCCTTGTCGTCGAGGTGTCTTGTCTGCAAGTGTTGGTCATTATACTGATGCTATAAAGGATTTGAATAGAGCGCTTGGGTCTGGTATGTTGGCATTCCTAGATCTTTCGGCTTTTTTTGCCCATTTGTGCCTCTTTAGATCCTCAAATACATGACGCTCTATGGTATCGACACATGTTGAGATTGAAGGAAGGCAATGTAGCTGACGCCTTGGAAGATTTGGATACACTTCTGGACTTGGATCCTGATCATCTTGGTGCATGGAGAGCCAAAGCTAAATTGTGTCAGGAGACAGGTAATCGGCATTTTGGGACTTTTCCGAATAGTTTTTTGCTTCCTTCCTGTCAACACTATTTTGTTGTTAGATCGCGCAAAGCATGCCATTGTTGCCTACACCAACATCATTCGATTACGAACTGATGAGCCTGATGCGTATTTTCAACGTGCATTGCTCTTTAATGCTGAACATGTAAGAAATCTCTGGCGTCAAACTACTAAGACCGTCGTCCGTTGATGTGCTTTGCTTCCAATAGGAAAGCATGTACGCATCTCAAGATTTCGCAGTAGTTCGACGTCTAGACCCAGAAAATGAGACTGCCATGAGACATCTTGCTATTCACTCCTTTGAACGTGATCTTTACGACGATGCCGTAAAAGCTTTTGAAAAGTTACTTGAAGCTAATCCTGGTGAGGCTACATTGTACACCTATCATGGACGGTGTTTGGCTCATCTTGCCAAGTGGGAAGATGCTTTGAAAGTGAGAACTCGCTTCAAAACGCCTAGCGTATTGTTTTTTTTTGTGTTGACATCCTTCCATATAGGATTTCAATGAAGCTATTCGATTATCACCTGAAAGTGCCGATGTGTACTTCCACCGAGGCTGCTTACTACGTGATCGGAATCGTCAACGTGCCATTGAGGACTTTTCGATATCGGTGTTGATTGATGATACGAAAAAAAATGCCGATGCTTTCTTTCAGAGAGGTATCAATATTTTTATGCGCGATATGAGGTGGAATGGTTCTCCTCACATGAGATCTTGTTGTAGCAATGCAGTATGTGAAATTGGAGGAATATGATCTCGCTGTTGCTGATTACAAGCGAGGTGAGGACATTTCGGTGCGATATTTTTTCGTCTATAGGTTTACTAACCGGTTTTCATAGTAAATGAGATTGATCCACTAAAGGCAGTGGCACATCTGAATTTGGGAACGCTGTATCTCAATATTTACCGAGACCTGAATGAAGCTTTAGTGTGTTTTGGTCTGGCCATCAAAGCAGGTATTGCATTGATACATCCTCATAGTGCACTTTTTTGTCCGTTTGCAGCATCTCACCTGTTGTCATGTTAGACCCCACTTCCAAACGAGCATTGTTATCTCGTGCAGAGCTATATCAAAAGCTACATGCCAAATCTCACGTCGGTTCAAGAACTGAAATCACGAATTTGGCTGTTCCCAAACGCAGGGGCATACCCATGTCTTATGTAGATAGTGCCGTGGCTGATTACTCTCGTGCTATACATATGAGGCCGAGAGATCACTTATTGTATCTGTACCGTGGACGATTGCTCTTGCGCGAAAGGTAGGATTAATTAATACAAAAAGCCAGGTTTCACGAATTCTTATTATTTCTCACATCAAATAGTCGCATACAAGACGCCACAAAGGACTTCCAAACGGCATTCAATATAAACTCTTCCATTGCACAGACATTTGTGCAGAGATCTTTGGTCTTGTCCTTCCAGGGCAGATATCCAGAGATTTTGGAAGAATATGAACGTCGTAAAGAATCCGAGCATCTTGATGAGAATGCTTCAGCTTTGCTGACGATAGCCAAGACTTGCCAGAAGCTGGGTAATTTACCTAGTGCCATCAAATACCTCGATTTGGCCGACGCTAAATCGCCGCATGATCCAAGACTCCATTTCCAACGTGGCCTAGTCCTCAAAACCATGTCTGAATGGCCTCTAGCCGCAGCAGAATTCAAGAAATGTGTCATCATGGAACCACGCAATGCTAAAGCACATTATAATCTTGGGTTATGTTTATTGCGTCTGGGTGATTTGAAGGGACTGAACTATCTCTCTGAGGCGTTGAAGAAGGATCCAAAAGACTTTGAAGCTTATATAACTCGAGCTGCCTTCCAGTTTAAGAATGGAGAGCAGCGGAAGGCTATTGAGGATTGTAATTCGGCATTGGTGCTTGAACCTGCTAGTCTTCGAGCACATTTGTTGAGAGGGACTTGTTATTTGGTGCTTCATCAGACTAGTGTTGCGGTCAGAGATTTCACGAAAGCAGCTAAGATTGATAAGGTGAGTTGTGTGTTGTGAAATCTATCAATAATTTGCACCACTTCACATTTTCCCCCCTAGACATGTCATTTCGCATTTTATAATCGAGCGGTTGCATACCAGTCACTACATGACTTGGAATCAGCTCTGAGGGATTACAGTATCGTTCTCTTGCATCAGGAGAGACATTTTGTACGTTTTGATTTGACCGAAGAAACCGCACAAAGAGAGCGACAAATGACACTTCATCTTCACAGGATGCTTTGAGGAATCGTGGATTGCTATATTGGCATCGAGGTGATGCTCAAAATGCCTTTTTGGATTTGAGTAAGGCTGCTATAGGTTTCCCGAATGATGCTAGGTTGCGTGGTGTATTGGGATTATGTTGTCATAAACTTGGTAGACATGCTGAAGCTATTCATTCGTTTGATCAAGTAAGGTTTCGTGGTCGCAGTTGATCTTTTTTTTTGCACGGATATTGAGACCTCATTCGTTTGTCTCTGCAGGCAATCAAGATCGACTCTGATATGCTAGAGCTGTATATCGGCAAAGGCAATGTTCTAGCCGCCATGGCCGAAACATCGAAAGCCAGAAGAGAATATGCCCGAGTCCTACATGTCAAGCCACGAACACCCGCCGCAGCATTCAATATCGCTTTCACCTTCCAACAAGACGACAATCTGAAAAAGGCAGTCCATTTCTTTACTGCTGCACTAGCTCTAGATTCGAGTTGTGCATATGCATTAGATGGACGAGCAGTCGCACTTGTACAGTCTGGAAACCATATTGGTGCTCTTGTGGATTCCTCTGATGCCATCAGGATTGCACCGTGGAAGGCTGAATACTTGTCTAATCGTGGTGTTGTACATGAAGCCATGTGTAATCCTGCTGAGGCTTTGAATGACTTTAAGGTATGGTCTGTGATTGAAAGGGTGTTTTTTGGTGCTTGAGAAGTTTGACACATTTTATGTGCGAAGACGGCAGCTGAAAAGTCAAAGCGATTCAGTCTGGCATACTTTAATCTGGGGAATGCGTACCTCAAGCAAGGGTCTTATGAGAAGGCGATACAGTTGTATGGGAAGGTGAGGAGCTGTAGTTGGTCGAGTTTGAAGACGCAACAAAAGCACCTCTAATACGATCTCCTCAGTGCTTTGACTTGGATCCTACTGATGGACTGGCTCTCTTGAACTCTGCTATTGCCAAGTACCTTATACGGAGTGAGTGGCATCTTAAATATTAAAATTTGGATTAGGAATTGAATACTGACAACCATTGTTTCTCTAAACAGAAGTGCCAATGGCTCTTGAGGATCTTAACGTTGCAGCAGAACTCTGTCCCAAAGATGGAAATATCTTCTTTATGAGAGGGCATTTACTTGCTGAGCAAGGTAATAAGGAAAAAAAACTGGTTTCAACGAAGAAGATTGATTGGTTTGTTAACACCACTTCCAACGACTTGCAGGTAAACTGGAAGCATCAGAAGCCGATTATACAAGAACACTGGCTATTTCTCCCGATGCAGAGAAGTTCAATGCTCGTGCTGACGTGTAAGTCAATCATTTTGGAGACAAATAATACGTTTTTTTGGTGCTAACAATTCGTGTTTTGTAGAGAGGCAAAGGAGGATAAGGCATTGCTTTCTATGCAGGATTATCAGCATGCGCTACTGCCGGAAGATAAGTTTATGCCTTAACGTTGTACAATGTCAGCTTGTACATGGCTTCGATAAATGATTTTTTTTGGCATATCACAAACACCTGTAACAAACACGCATACGTTGACAAATACACACAAGTAGTCCCCATATGACTCAGTTGGTTTGCCTTTGACCTCTTATAGGAGAGCATGTACACATCTCAAGATTTCGTAGTGCTTCGATATCCATGGGAAATGAACCTGCCATGAGATTTTGTCATCCACTCCATCGAATGTGGCCTTTAAGAAGTTGCAGTGTCAAACCCTTGAGATCGATCCTGCTGAGGCTTAATTGTGAATCTTGGACCGTGTTTAGCTCATCGCCAAACGGAAAGATGCTTCGAAAGTACGAAGCCTTGTCTTGGCATGTTTCATGCTTGGTTTTGTGCTCACTCTCCTCCAAACAGTATTTTAAAAGGCACCACTACCACGAGATAAATTTTTGCCTCAAGGTATTGGTATTGTGCCAAATCAACTGATACATACCTCCGTTCAACATAAGGGCTTTTTTGGCATACTCAAGTAACAAGTACAGACACTCGGTTCAATAGACATGAGTGTTCTCGTTCTCCTTGTTTTCATAAAGTAAATACAAGTGAAAAAACATATCGCGCATCTAGCAACATTTTGGGTGAAATGAACAATGTGAATATACAGAGCAATGACCACCAGGGAGCAATTTTTCTCAAGCCTTCCTTCTATTTTGTTTAGCAGCCACACTAACTTTACGGCGCTTGGTGTTGTTGAAATCGTAGCCTGAAGTGCGAACACGTCCAGATCCACCATCAGATTCACCGTCAGCTTGAGCCTATACGTGTATAAATTTGATCAATGATAGCAAAGAACGTGCGAAATTCCATTCATGTGCCGACCTCTGATCGTGTGCGTTTCTGCAATCCTTCTCCACTACCAGCAGTAATTCCAGCCATATCTTCAGGACTGTCAACATCCATGTCATCAGGAGTGGGCGGAATGGGTAAGAGAGTAGAATTCGCCATCATAATATTTTCCTTTCCTGCTGCAGTAGTAGCACCAGCACTACCACCACCACCAGCAATGGCAGCACGAGGCTTGACATGAATATCTGGGATGCCTTCGAAGTTGAATTCATGCTTCCAAGCTTCACCGGACATCCAGTATTCACGTTTGGCGATCGTTGCCTTGGTGTTGACGTATTCAAGATTTTCAGTGGTGGCTTTAGGAGCTTTTTTGGGAGGACGACCACGACGAGAAATTGGACGTAATATACCATCCTTTTTAAGCAAGTCAATAATTTGGGTGGCAATTCCTTCGTCGAGGCCTAAAAAATAGAATTTGTAAGAGCTCTGGTCCTCCAAAAAACTGTGAGACTTTGTAGAAATGCAATACCTCCCAGACGAGTAGACAACCACGTAGGACTCTCACATCCTTCCTTCCATACAGCAATCAGGGCTCGACGGAAAATGGTCAATTCAAAGCAATGTGTCAAGGCACGACTGTCTTGACCATGTAGACAATGATAACATCGAATTTCGTCAGTACTAGCTAGAGCATCCTCCTGAGTCAAGAAACCAAAGCAGATTGCATGAGACCATGTACCACACTGACAGCACTCAATCATAATGCCTTCAGCCTGGTGATATTTGTTCGTTAAGATGAGCAAGCAAAAGAAGAGACTTAACAGAAGGCAATGACAACGAGCTATGACTTACGTGATTATCACAACATGCACAAGATACTTGTGCTGCATCAATATCCTTTGCATGAGCACATGAATGTATTTTCTTGGTAACGACTTTCTTTTTGAGAAGAGCAGCATCAACAGGTTTCTTGGCCCCTTTGGCAGGTTGTTGGACTGCTGTATTTTCATTCATATCGCCACTGTTGACACCATTTGTAGAAGCTGTCTTCGAAATTCCAGCAAGATGTCCACGAGTAAAACAATCTTGACTGGTTGTAGCCATATTATCAACAGTCACGAGTTCAGCTCGTGATCGAGTTTTCGTTGTCTTGGCATCATGCGAAGACGCAGTGCGTATAGATTCGTTATGACTGGAATGAGATTCAGATTCCATGTCATCATTTGCGGTTTCATCTTCTGACATGGCAGCTGCGGCTTCACCACCACCAGTAGGAGCAACGTCTCGAGTCGCAGTTCCTGCCTTCAACGCGGAGATGAGTTCTTGAGTGCCGACTGAACCTAAATTTGTGGTGGAAAGATTTCAGATCTAAGCAACAGAAAAAAAAACAGAGCATTGCACCGCTTCCGGTTCATGCAAAGCAAAGTATGCATACCGAGCTTGGAAACAGGAGTAAATTGTGGCAAAGGAAGCTGTTCAACAGAAGAAGCAACGCTTTCTGTGGTTTGGATAACAGGTGGTGGTTGTTTTTGTACCTGTTGCGTAGTAGACACCGGAGCTCCTGCTACTGGCTTCGAGACTGCATCAGGACTGCGTTGAGAGGTCGGAGCAGCGCTCTTAGCAGGAGCGACTTTGTCATCAGCATCCGTCTTCTTCTTCTTTTGATCTGACTTGGCAGTATCTGTCGGTTAATATGAGACACAGTCACCAAAACGACTCCTGAAACAAGATCCACAAAAGGCTTACCTATTGGCTGTTCGTCCTCTTCCATAATGAATTGACCTGCTTCTGCTGCTGGAATCATGGGTTGATCACCTTCAGGATCATCATGAAAGTATTGAAGGCGCAAGCTCAAACTAGGACAAGTGTGAATGTGAGGGGAAATAAAGATATGTAGCAAGTGACGATAAATTACGCATGATAGGCAGTCTCCACAGTGCCAACTCCAAGCTTCTCGGGCTTGTGCGTAAAGTAGTATGGCTTATTGTGATCACAAGCTATGAAGAATGGTGGTTCATAGTCTTCTGGAGTCACTTCATCATAGTCTAAAAGCCATCAAAACATGGTAAGTCATTGTGTAAATTTATTATCAAGAGGATAAGAAATTGCCAGCTCACAATATATCTTCATGGTAATGTTTGCATTGTCAGGAAGAGCCTACAAACAGGTTTTATTGGTAAGATCATCGAAACATGCGACGAAACGGAGGTTTCGTACACCCAAACTTTGAGTCAAAGTCAGCAATCGTCTCAACATTTCACTTGTAGCCTTCATGATTTCTTTCTTGGTCTTGAAGTGGAAGGGTTGCTTTCCATCAGTGACGAACGAGACATGAGTTTGGCCTTCCGATGGATATGAGAAGTTGAATGTGTAGGTTTCCAGTCTAAAGATGCAAGCATTTTTAGCAACAACAGGAAAAGGCAAGCATATTAATTTAATGACTTTGCTGAGTTGTGAGACAATGATCAGAACGTACAAATGCTCAGGTTCATCCGGATTGGCATAGATACCAAAGATTAGAGTCCGAAGATACTTTTTGTCCAGAGCGTCAAAGACACCACCATTCTATAAGCCCAATCATCAAGTCAGACGACAATATCTCAAATTCCACCAACGAGACCAACAATCAACAATGCATACCAGCCAATCAATCAAATCATCAGCCTCTTTGGAATGACCTCGTTCAAGCGACTTTAGCGACATTCCGTTCACATTCGTGTCTTTATAATGATCTTCTGCGAATACGACCCTCTGGAGAATTACTCAAGCATTAATTTCCAATGCATGACATCGACAGCAAAAAAAAAACATATGGAACTGCAATGATACCAAGTAAGTGATTGCACCAATAGTAGTGTTGAGCAAGTTTCGTACAAGATTGACACTCTGAGTCTCTGTTGGAGTATCTTGCTGTGCCTGTTCTTGACGCTGGCGCTATGAGAAATCACAGTATAATGAGTTTTTATTTAAAATTGTCGTCAAATTACCCAAAAAAAACTGCCAAATCTTTGATTCTTCATACCTGCATTTGGTGAGCCATGATGATCAAATCAATCTAGTATGAATGCGTAAACGCTGATGATGTAGTGTATGATACTATTTCAACCATAATTGTTGTCAGTATGAGAAGCATTTCAAGCTGATTTGCAACACATTGATTTGTGGAGCTTGGAGCTTGATGAAGCAACAATACCAAGAAAGGAAGACGAGAATCCTTTGAGTTATGGCTAGATTTACTTGATCCACGATGCCTGTTCACTAGTCTACTTATTGCATCCCAGATCGCTTAAGCTTGGTGCAAAGTCATGTTTGGAAGAGATAAACAGTGACTTCGCGAACTTTAGGAGATCATAGAATGACAAACACATCGCAAAACACGGTTAACAACAGATCCTTTCAGTATCACAGTAGTAGTATTCTATCATTTCAATATATTTAAGTTTTTTCTAATGCACACAATACAAACGTCCTTTTAAAAATGTCACCAACTGATGTGACCCATGTCTACTCCTTTTCATGGCGCCTCCACAAGAGGCAAAAACTCATTCTTGTTATCCCCACTCTCCACGTCTCTCCTTCCTTCAGGCTTCAATTCAGCACCTTCAATATTACTCTCAATCTTTGTCCGTAACGGAATGTGTTTACAGAAGGCCAGACAGATGACTCCCACAACTGCAAGTCCACACGAGATGTACCACAGGTCAGGGAAACTGGATGCGAAGGCTTGAGACACCATTGTTCGTTGAGAGTCAGGGAGAGATCCGATGAGTGCGAGATTAACTTGGCCAGTCGAAGTTATGACGGGAATGCGAGGGAGATTTAGGGAGTCTGTAAGTGAGTTTAGGTTTCTACATATTTGAGGTGTGTTAGTCAGAAGTAGCTCCAGGGCACAAAACACTAATCGAATTATCACGATGGTGGAATATAAATCACACTCAAACCCCACAGCAAACACAGTCACAAGCAAACACAATCAGACACTTACGCGACCCAAAGATTATTCAATATAGCAGAATCAACAGCCAACGCAACTACACCACCAAACGTTCTCATAAACCCAACGGATGACGTGGCGGTAGCAGTATCCTGAGGCTTAACGGCAGCTTGAGCAATCAGCACCAGAGCTATATAGGTCAAGTAGGAGTCAGCAAATGTTGCCGTTTGGTGCTGTGCCTAAATCGCAGCAATTCTTTTTCTTTGCTTCTCACATAACACCAACTCACTTTGAATCAAAGATCCACAACCAACTCCAACTACCAGCATTGCAACAATTTCGAGCCATCTAGGACCGTTTGCATCTGTACAACAAGGAAGACAAAGTCAGCCACAGCAATCAGACAAAGGGCCAAACACAAGAACTCCAAACCACACATACCCAATCTCGAAAGCAAAATAACACCAACAGCCAATACGGTCTCCCCAAACAACGCAACTTCAATATACCTTCCAGTCACACTCGTAATAATTCCCATAACCAAAGTCATCAACGTGAATCCAATAGTCATGGGCAAGATCTGCAATCCGGCGTTCGTAGGAGACAGTCCATGAGCGATTTGGAAGAATACAGACATCTCATATGTAGTTTCGAGGAAAACATAACCGAATGCGAATGCTGCAATGTTTGCGAGGGCTACGTTTCTGGTTTGGTATAGACGGATTGGTAGAGTTGGTTCGAGGGCTACTCGTGCTTCGCTAAGAGGGGTGTACCGGGAAAGTCAGTATATAATTTGCAAGAATTGCAGTTGTTTCTCTTCATTGGAAACCATCGTTCAAAGACTATATGAGAAGTGAGCACTTACATGTAGATAAACACTCCAACGAGAGCAAATCCAAGGAAGAGGCACAACAGAACGTGCCAATCAGCCCATGGATCTGAAACAAAAAACGCGATTCAGTGTCCATGTACTGTAAATCGCGACGACACAGCAAGCTCATGAGACTCACAATTCTTTCCACCCCACTCAAGAGCCACCAAAATCAAGATAATGGCAACCATAAACACCAAAGATCCAAGGAAATCAATTCTTTTGACTTTCTCTCGCAAGTTTTGTTTCTAAATGTATCAAGAAATGTCAGTTTCAACATACACCAAGACACGATGACTGCGTTCAAGAGAAATTACCTTGAGAGGAACTCTTAGCAACACGATTGGGATAATCATGGCGAATATACCGACTGGAAGGTTGATGAAGAAGATCCTATTATACAACGAAATTCGTGTCAGCACGAACCATTTCTCCAAACAAAACCAAAAAAAATAGACCAACATCAGTCCTATGTTACTCACCAACGCCATGAAGCTTTATCTGTGATAATACCACCAAGTGTAGGTCCTAAAATCTAGAAAACGGCGATATAATATGAGATGTTTAGTCTTTTTATTGACTTTACTATGGACCAACAATTTCAGAATCGTACCTGTGCAATAGCCAACACTCCCGACGTGATCCCCTGCAGCTTGCCACGTTCACGTGGACTGACGATATCGGCCATGATAACGAATACTAGAGAGAAGAGACCTCCAACACCCACACCTTGGATCTAAATTATATAAAATCGAGTTGGCGACAAAAAAAAAAAACCACAGGCGCGCTTGATTTGGAATGAGAGATTCTCCAACGAAGATCCAGCTACACTTACAGCTCGTGAAATAATCAGTGATATCATATTTGGTGATACGCCTATACATTGTCGTCAAAAGTGTGACATGTCAGTCTTGACCATATTTCCCGCAATGGGCGAGTCACATACCGGCAATAACAGATCCAAGCAAGAAGAAGACAATGGACGACACGAGAGCTGTTGTCCGACCGAAAATGTCAGATAACTATAGTGAAACGTGGTGAGGAAAGGTCACATCATTTCAACATGCAAAGAAACGTACTTTTCCCCAGATAGGCAGCGTAGCAGCAGATGTGAGCGAGTAAGCCGTAGCGACCCATGGCAGGCTTCCAAAGTCACCCTATCATGTGAAATGTGTGATTTGAACGCTTTAACGCAGACACACCACAGGGGGGTGTTGACGTACAAGCTCGGAGGCAATTGCAGGGAGTGCCGTAGCAACGATAGTGGCTATTTTCATAGTGCAAATTGTAAAAACGTTAGCATCACCATTATGAAAAGCCGTGCTGATTCAACTATCCCAAAAAAACAAAAAACAGATCTCAGCTTACTATCAAGCGCAGACAAGAAGATATTCAACGACAGTCCAAAAGTGAGGAAATACAGCCAGAAACCCGTCAACAAGTGCTTCCGTTCCTCGGCGCCGACAGGTTGTGCTTCTTGTTTAATTGTGGTGGTTTGTTCTGCAGACGCAGATATAGGCACGGTTTCATCAGTCATTGTGAGGTTGAGAGAGGTCGCAACTAGTCTAGAACTATTTCAAGGAATGGAATTGTGTGTTGGAATTTGAATTGAGTGGGTGTGCTGATTGCGAAAAAAAGCTTACTGATCCAACTTTTCTGCTCACTCAGCAGGATTTGAATTTCAAAGTGGCTACAAAAACCCGCACGGATTACGATGCAAGTTGGCAAAGCAGAAAGGACATCACAAGGTTGAACGACGTCATAACTGTCGTTTACGCAATATTATTTCAAACATTCTTTGGAATTGGAGTACCTTTATATGCTGGAATGTACGTCTTGTATCGTTTGCGTCCATTTGGTAGGGAGATTTTAAAAATCGCAACACGGTGCAAGAAAACCATGCCAATCCAACAATGCATTTTAATGCTGATAAAAAATATATACTTCTGTTTCCAAATGCTACACTCTCGCTCGTTAAATATGAGAACGTGTTTTGTCGCTGACCACACTCTCTCAAGTCAAGTTCAATATTTATCCCATCCTCCTCCAGTTGCCTCAAACACCAAAGAGAAGGAAAGGGAAAATCAGATATTCACGCAACTAAAAAGAAGACGGAAAATTCGAGAACGTGAGGGAAAGTCATCTCGTTTGCCACACTACCAGACCCACCACGATCTCCACCCAGACCTCGACCCGCCACCACCACAACTATTGTAATAATCATCTCTCGCTTTAGTCAGTTCCGAGTGCCAGTTGCAGTACTTCTCCGTGGACTTTTCTCAATTGGACCTATGAATCTAGTTCATCTACTCTCTCTCTCTCTTTCGTTTGTTTCATGTACAGCAGCCTGTGAAGTGCTTAGCTATGGCTCCGTGGTACGTGATATTTTTTTGGTTGGTTTCGGGAAAGGGTTGTGGGACATATCAAGAAGACGGCCAGAATCACATATCAATAAAATTTGGTAGCACACATATGACAGACATGGACTTTCTGCTGTTGGCCGTGTTCGATTGTGGTTTGGAAATCTTGCAATTCGTCCTCGAAAATGACAAGAAAAGTGCGAGGGCTGCTTGCCAGACGTTTACAACTCATAATTCTGTCACCACGAGTCGTTATGAGTTTCTTCACATTAGCAAGCACGCTCTATGCCTTATCAACACTTCAACTTTCACCTAGCATGTGTTGACAAGCATGTTGACATCATCCGTCGAGTCTGCGATTTCCCTCATCCGTATAAGTGGCGTTGACAAAAACAGTTGATATGTTGAACTGAAAGTATCCCCAACAGTCTTATCAATCTGAATTCACGACACAACAGAAAAGGCAGACCGTGAATTGAATATAACGTACCAAACAAGCACCTCAACGATCCTCAGAACTCTTACCCAATCTTCCGTTTGACGAAATAATCTTTCAACCCTTGCATCTAGACTCACAACTCCTTCATAGTCAGCAGCGGCTCCAACAGCCTTTGTCGGTTTCGACTACCACTTTTACTACGTTGCCGAGAACTTTTCTACATGGAACCTAGAATCGGATTTCGATATTAGTGTGTGTACATTGGACGTCTTCAATTCATGTATAGCTAACCTAAATCAGCATTCAAACCAACCGACTTACACTATTTCTGAAAAGGTGTAAGAAGTTAGTAAAGATCATCCAAAATTAGTCAGTTTACTGCAAATCACTTAAATGCACAGCTCGTTTGAGCATACCGCCAGTCACACGTGCTGTGAGCCGATTCTAAAGACCATTATAAGCAAATAAAAAAACCCAGCCCATGAAACCTGAATACTCCCTTTTGTCAAATGCTAATTATATTTTCAAATGCAAACACTGTCTCAACCTCCAAGTTCAATATCTACCCCATCCTCCACCTCCTCCAGTGCGTCCTCCTCCTCCGCCACCACTAAAATAAAAGTTAAGACAAATGGGTCAGCCAAGTAAGAAACGAAAAAAGCGATGTGTCAAAAGCCACAGATAACTCACCGATAGTCATCTCGTCGTCCACCACCATATCCACCACCAGACCCGCCACGATCTCCATACCCAGACCTCGACCCACCACCGTTATTATTATAATCATCTCTCGGCCTACGATTAAACCCATCATCATACCGATCTCTTCCCCCGTCATACCCACCACCACCAAATGAATTAGTACGTCCATATTTCGGTTTCAGTTCATCTACTTTTTCTCTGATTCGTTTGTGGTTCATGTGCATTCGGCCTGTGAAGTGATCAGCTATGATGAGGATATATCTCAGCTTTTTTTGCCTCGTTTGTAACGTTGGTAATCAAAGGGCATAGATACCAAGGCGGCGATCCGAATCAAATATGGATAAATAGGCAGCGCAGACATGACAGACACGTAGTTTCTGTTGTTGGCCGTGTTCGATTGATTTTTGGACGTCTTGTAACTCTTTCTAGAAGATGCAACAAAGAATGAAATTCATCGCGTTGTATGTTGCCACAGTCACTTGACCACTCACAATCCTGTCACCACGAATCGTCATGAGTTTCTCCACATTAGCAAACACGCCCCATGCCTCATCAACACTTCCACCTTCACCTAGCTTGTGTGCTTGTTCGACAAGTATGTTGACTTCATCTGTTAAGTCTGCAATTTCCTTCATCTGTATGTGCAAAAATAATAAGGTTGGTTTGTGCTGATGAGTTGGTTACCGGATCAAGAGACCGAAAAAATTCGACTACACTTCTATTACAAACAATCCTGTTGTTTCCCGAAAACAGTCCGGATCTCGAATTCATCATCCTGTTTCCCAACATAACAACAAACCAACAAACAATTCCATGCTTCCACCCGACGTACCAAATTAGCACCTCTAGGATCCTCAGGCGTCTTGTCCAATCTCCTGTTTGATGAAACAATCTTTCGATCGTTGTCAGCGACGAAAGCGTCTAGAGTCGCAAACCATTCACGTTCATAGTCGGGAGCGGTTCCAGCAGCCTTGTCGGTTTCGAACGCGAGTTTTAGTTTCTCGCCGTGGACTTTTTCACATGGACCTATTCGAGATTTGGATGTTAGTTTCAACTCAGCAAAGGAGAGCGCAGCGTTGGTAGCAGTGGGTTAGGTACCTAAATCAGCTTTCTATAATGGGGTTGAAGAGTGGATGATGTCGTCAGTATATCGTGTTCTTTGAACGTCTTTCGACACCTGACTTACAGTGTTCCTACAAACGCAAACGAGGTTAGTAGCCGTTGATCGTTCACCGTAGTATACAGCAAAATACATACATGAACTGGTCGTGTGGACATACTACAAGCAAACAAACAGTGTGTTAGCCTTCCATCAAAATCAAAAACACACAATTGATGCTTAAAGAATGCACCACTACAAACCATACTCACATCCCAGTAGAAAACTCTTGCATACTTTTGGATCCGTGTAGACTATATTGTCTGGTATGCCTCCTACGCAAACGTTGTATTCAAGCGTTAGATGCAATAACCGAAAAACATCAATAACGTTTCTGGATACCAAGGGCTTCTTTGCCCATCAGGGCCTCGAGCAGTTTGCGTTGTTCAGCAGCAGCACTCATGGCTGTCCCAGTCTCGTCAATGTAACGTCTCCTTGCTGTGCTTGCTGGTTTTGGGGACTTGCTGTCGATGCTGCGCGAAGCAAACTGTGGTAGAGCTATACCGATTTGATGGTATATATTATTTAACTAAACGTGAAAACACGTTTATTTGGTACCAGATCTACTCGAACTACAATGTACATGTAGCTTCACCAAACTCTTCCCAACATCAAAACCATTCCAATTAAGCTTCTATGATGATTGGAGGAGAAGTACTCAACGGAGGCAGCAGCAGCCAGTCAAGCACAACCAACAACATCAAATCTGCTATATCCAACGACGACCTCATCACAGACAGATCCGACATCTGGCAATGCATTGCAAACAAACTAGCATCATCAAATGCAACATCCCCATCATCCATAAAGCACCAATTCCGCATCAGAGTCGCAACATCAAACCTATACACTCCATCTCCTCCCTTATTCACAGGCATAACAACCACGCGTCGTGATGTAATCGTCCTCGCAAACCACATCACAGCAGACAATGACGAAGAAGTAACCGTATTCGGATGCATTGCATCAGAATACATTACAAACTCGAACGGAATATACATTTACATCGAAAAGGTAGATTCGACGGGCTGTGGGCCGAAAACACCCACCAGTATATCACGCGCAGTCATGAGGGGGTATGTCGATAGTCTGGCGTCTCGCTATCCAGATGATAAAGTACGGGTGCACACGTTTGCCAAATCCCAAGACCAGTATCTCTTTGCGGGATCCGGTACAATACCCAACAAACGCAAGATGAGCGACATGGAGCTCGTCAACTGGTGGAAGAAGACGCTGGGATATAGTGTTGCGGGATGGGATGTCGCAGGGTGGTGCTTTATGCCGGGTGAATCACATAGTAATAGTAATAATGATACTTTCAAATGGGAATACGGATACCCCCACAGCATCATATCCCCATCCACAAATCTAGCTAGATCCATTCTCCCACAGTTTCCAGACGACCCCAAAACAAAGGTACTTAAATTGCTGCCATTCGATGCCACAATCGCAGATGCGCTGGACATGATGGCCAACGTAGGGGAATGTAATGGACGTGTCACTGCTCTGCTCGTACTCACTATGGAAAGGACACGCAATGTATCGTCAACAACAACTTTTATTGATGCTATGAATGTAGACGATAATGACGTAAACCCAGATGAGGATAGCGATAGTGACGATGACGCAGTAACAATAGTATACTATGAAGTATGTGATGAATTCGCAGGCCTACGATCCACACTAGCCAAACTGGACTTCTCCACACGGGAGAGTAATGTAAAGGCTACGTTTGTGTTGGGGAAAAAGTTTGTTATTGCTGGGCAGGCGTTCTCGAATCTGGTGGATGTTGATTTGATGCCTGATACCAGTGGCGGTAATAATAGTAATGCTAGTGAGGAAACGAATACTAGTGCTACAGCTGCTGCTACTACTCCTGTATTACAACCAGCACCGGCTGTTGAGATACATAATATCCAGGGGCTCGTGAAAAGGAAGGGAGGAGACAAGTTCAATGATAAGGCAAAGAGAGTGGTGTTGACACCAGCATCTCTACCAACAACAGCAGCAGAGAAGCCCGCAGTAGAGGTTGATAACCCCATAGAAGTAGAACCAATTCCAGCAGGAACAAATGTAGAACCAACTGTAGAATCAACCTCAACAACGACTCCAATGGAAGTATAAACCGTACATTTTGAACAAAGTGGATGACTCGTGTAGATTGTAAAATCAAATCAAAACCCACTTGCTATATATTTTCTGATAGCTTTTGGGATTCATAAAAAGGAAATAAAAGTGTACATGATCTTGTTTACCACAACTATACAAATAGCTAGAGAAGAAAGTGTGTGTGCGTTCCCAGATGACGTTGTTGGCCACTATATAATACTTTACGAAACGGTGCCAAAACTAGACTATTCTAACTAGCAAACACTCTAACACCCTACCAACCAACACCAACCTACTTTTCCTCACCAGCCAAAAACCCAGGCAGCGACCAATGTGGATACGCAACCTTACTCTTCTTTTCCCTCCCCATTTCCTCCAACTGCATTCTAACCGCCGTAGATTGACGAGCCAGTCTCTCTAGTGCGGTTTTCGCTGGGAGGCGATCGTATACCACTAATAATAATTCCAGGTCAGCAAGAAAAGACGAAAAGGATGGACAAAATCATTGGGTGAAGGACTTGCCAAGGATGTGACTGTTGAGAGCCATAGCGACATCTTCACGATGTTTGAGCGAGAGGTATTCCGATAGCGGTGAGTGCTCTGGGTCTGTGTATGCGAGGAGAGCAATCACGTCGTTGAATGTTTTGGCGTACTTGTCGCCGAGGGATTGGTATTTTATCAACTCTGGGATAATAACAAAAGATGTGTAAGGTGAGGGAATATAAGATGCAACAAAAGCGACCGCAAGCACAGTATCATAGTTATACGAAACCAGAACCACACATATATATCGTACCTTCTTGCGCAAACTTTAACGCATCGACCCCACTATTCCTCACACACTCTATAAACTGCTGACACTGCAGCTTGAAGCACACATCTTCGCTCTCGGGCGTCTTCCCATTCAGTGCATCAGGGAAATGCGCATGGCAGTACGCAACAGCCTCGAGTATCCTCCCACTGCATACCAACGAGTAGAGCTGTTTACGTGGCTCGAGACTTGACGACATGGTGGTTCCATTCGATGTTGAGGATGATGCTATGCTTGCGTTTGATGGTTTACGTGCTGCGGCGGAGAGGAGGAGACGGCGTGATGCGTTGCGTGCGTATATGTCTTGCTGTGTGTGTGGGGTTGTGTTATTTGATGGGGTTCCACCCATGAGCAGATCGCCGTCGTCATCAACCACCATACTCATTCCGCCATTGACGATGTCCATATGTGTGTCCTGATGTTTCTTGTCTATGGTGTTGTTATCAGATGCATGAGTATTATGAGTGGTCGAGTCGCCGGCGAGCCATAGGGTAGCGAATGAGGATGCGGTAGCCGAGTAGCAGTTGTGGACTAGATATTCGTATACGAGTTGCGGGAGGAGGTCTTGGTCGAGTTGTAAGGACGTGTCGATCGTGTCGAGGATGGAGGGGGGTGAGAGGCTTCCTGCGAGGCCGCCGGTGTTGGATGGTGGGGGGATGGTGTCGGAGGTGGCGTTGGTCGTGGATGGTGCTGGACGAGATGGGCTCCAGTTGCTCATGGTTGTCTATATGGGTTGTTTGATTTGCTGGTTTTTTTGTGAATGTTTGGAATTTCGGGGAGGACGTATTTCTGTATTTTGAGTTGGAAGGAGGTATTCGTTACGTGTATTGGTATTGAATGGTATTTTCCATCTCTGCAAAACGCGGTCTTGTCTAGTGTGTGTGGTCATCACGCTGTGAAAGCATTTCGAGACTGCTGATGATGTGATGAAGCACCTGTAAGAGCATATTGGAGCAGCCTAGATCATGTTTTGTTCATGGATTATAACATAATTCCTTCCTTAGTCCACTACAAACTTCACATTTGGAGGACAGGATCCACATGTTTGTGACAACTCTAGTCCACAACGGCGACATCAAGCAAGAAACGGATGCTATCACATCATTTTTTATTTTCTGTGATATCTACACTCAATATGACGAAATCGTCAGTGTAATGCCACAATGAATGCTGGGAGCCTGTCAGATGTAGCTCGTTGAAACCAAATGAAGAAACGCGTGAGCGTGGCAACTATTAAAGACGCGACAATGAGGATCAGTACCATCTGCTTTGTCTGGTAACTCAGATCTTACACCTCACACGGTATTTGTGCGAGTCGCGCATCAACTTTGTGATGAAGGCACGTGAGAGTATGTGAGGCACATCAACACTTGTCGGAGCTGCCTTCTCATCGCACCTGGTGTATGTCACAACCAGCTTCGAAGAACAAAGTAACTTGATAACTCAAATCTCACGATTTCGCAGGCATGTGAAATGCGAATCAGATAGAACGATGACGGATTAATGTTATATTTGAACTTGACCAAGATCTAAACTTTAACTTTAATGACAAAGGTGCCGTCGAGACCATCGCAGCCTCACCAAGTGGCGCAATTGGAATGGTCCACGCTAACGGAACATCAACAAGATTCAGCTCTCTAAGGTCTATCAGTTTCAACTCGGACTATTCATGGATGGTGGTCGCATTCGAGTGATCAGTAAGTTGTAGTAGTCATACTCGTCACCTTAGCAAGTCAGATCCATTATGTGTCTTGCTTTTTCCAACAACAGATTTCAATCCGAAGTACCAAGTCCTGTCCCAAGTCCTATTGTGCCAAGTCCTGCTGTATCCCCGCCTGCTAAATCCACTCGTCCTTTTTGTATTTGATTGATCGAGAAAAGAAGCGTAAGCGCATTAGCAGCAGAAGCGGCCATGAAAGCGCGTAAGCAGAGGCGGCCATGAAAACCGCTACAATGAGGATTCTTAGTCGCGTACTTTGTGCTTGACTCAGATCTTACACTTTACACTCTATCCGTTGACGAATCAAGTTTGTGATGATGTATATGGGTGGGAGTGTGAACATAATGTTAACCACATCCAGGCGTGCCTAAGCTGTCTTTCATCTTTCATCGCATATGGTGTATGCCACGAGCAGTATCTTCTTCAAGGACAAAGCAACCTCAACCACAAATCTCAAGATTTCGCAGTGTTGTACCATGAGGACGAACGATTGAGGATTTCACACCGATTCCGTCATATCTAGTTGGACTTATGTCAAACTGGAAAGACGACTTGTAGGTTAACCTACCTGCTGCTTGTCAATGCCCGTTATATTTTAATCTGCGGCAGGATCCCAATGCAACAGGCTCTCGTTGGTGGTATTGCACCAAGAGAGACAGGGATTCATACATACGGTTATATTTAGGCTCCTTTATATGACAGCGCCCGAGCTGGTAGACATGTGTTGTATGGGGGTTCATATTCCGCGGAAACTACCAATTTAGGGCAATAGACTGATTGGTTTGGAAGCTCGGGAACAGGATAGCTTGGAGCGTTTATTCTCCATTCAATGATGAGATCTCTACCCTTGACGAGTTTGAAATTATCGATTCAGCAACTAGCTAAATCTCTCCTCTTATCAAAATTGGAACTTCACTCGCAAGCTGCAAAAATGTATCGAGCCATCGCCTTTCTGGTTGCAGGTTCCTACCTCACGTGGCACGTTGATGCTCTATACGAGCAAGCTGTCGTTACGACTTATTGCGGGAGTGGAAGCGGATATATGGTATGAGACGGCTATCATCTTTTGGTCTTCCATGTCGCAATTTGGACTCCTCCTAATCATTCCATGTCCACTCTGTAAGGATGGACCTTGTTCCACAGCTCAATTCGGAGCATCGGACGGATTGGCCGTGGATTCCACCAATGATACAATTGTCTGGGTTGCAGACTCTACATATGACACGATTCGAAGAACGGACGGTATCACTCTCTCTACAATTCTTGGATCCTCAAACGGTTATGTGGAAGGAGTTGGAACAGCCGCACATTTCAACAGTCCAGGAGGCTTGGCATTTGATGGATTAGGAAATATGATAATAGTTGATGAGCATAACAACAGGATCCGGTACTGGACTCGGTCAACAAACACGGTGTCTTTGATTGCTGGATCCACATATGGAGAAGTAGCTGGTACAGGAGCAGCTGCACAGTTCGATCAACCAGCACTTGTATCATATGATGGAACCAATCAACGTATTTACGTTACCGATGTTTCTGGTACTTCAAATTCCAGTTTATTTAGAAGTATTTAGAGTATTCGTGTCACTCGTTGTATTCAGCAACACCTCTTCCTCTATATTACCCTCTCTCAGGTCACTCTGTGCGAGTCATCTCAAGCTCAAATTACGCTTCCATTTTAGTCGGAGGTGTACCTGGATATGCTGACGGCGCATGTAAGCATTGATTTCTTAAAGCAAATGAGCTCTGATCTGTATGACTCACTGTCATTTTGCCTTTGTTATCTAGTTGGATCTGTCGAATTCTTTTACCCAATCGGTATTGCACCAACCTCCACAGGAGCTTTTGTATATGTTAGTGATTCATACAACAGGTGCATTCGAAAGGTAGGTCAGGCAATGGGAATCAAGCTGTGTTTTGCTGGGTTCTTTGGTTAATCACAGTCGTTGTTTTATAGATAGATGTGAATGGTGCAACTGTCTCTACGTATGCAGGAAATCTCGGATCTGGAACGGCTCAAGCAGGGTCAGCAAAATGATGTATTTGCAGTTTTGACGGCAACTGAAAATATTGATACATGTACTTCCCAGATGCGTTGATGGCGACAAGGACACTACAGCCCAATTCGGAATGCCATTTGGCCTGGCTTTGGATAATGCAGGGAACTTGTTTGTCGCTGATACACTTTGCAATAATATCAGAGTCATTTGGGCTAATGGTAATGTGAATTGTCATGTTTGAACTTGATCAAATTCTGAAACTATCATTTAAATGGAACAGGGACCGTTGAGACCATCGCAGGGTCAGCAAATGGTGCATATGGAATGGTCAATGCGAACGGAACATCAGCAAGATTCAGCTCCCTAACCTCTATAAGTTTCACCTCGGACTACTCAAAGTTGTATGTCATGGATGGTGGTCGCGTTCGAAGTATCAGTACGTGGTATTAGTCGGCTCCCTGTCTTTCTCGCAAGTCGGTTAACTGTATTGCTTTTCCTTCATTTTTCACAACAGATTTCAATCCCAATGTTCCAAGTCCTGTTCCAAGTCCTGTTATGCCAAGTGCTGCTCCTGGGGTATCTCCCGTTACTGGATCCCCTGTTGCCTCTGAATCAGCTACTCCTACAACCACACCTGGTCCTTCCACTAACAATACCGCTGGGATAATTTCTGGAAGTGTCATCGGCTCTGCTGCGATTCTCACTGCTGGTGCAGCAAGTCTATTTTTCAAGATGAAGCAAGCAAAGAAAACCGAGAACAAGGATGATGGAAAGAAGGAAGCCGAAGCAGACAAAGTGGTAGAGAAGGTGTAGATATTTTTGAAAATCCTGAAGGACGCTATCACAATACGTCGAAAATATTTGCGAAAAGAATGAACTGTCACAATACGCGAAGAGAGGTCCAAGATGCTTTGACATATCTTACGCGATGATTGATCTTGTGTCCAAAACAAGTGCCAACTTCAAAGAATGGAGTAGCATTTCAAGCTTTCAGATTGAATTGCATGCTTCGTCTCAATGGCTTCTTAGTTTATCTTCACACCTGGCTTGTTGCCAAAGAGAGTAAGAGTTAATTGCGGCAAAGTTCATGTTTTGACCACGTTATCTCTGAGATTCGACAAGCACCACGTTGTCACAAGCACCAATCTAGACATCTTAGCATAACAGAGGATATACACGACATAATCTCGATGTCCACCTTGGTAGACGCATCAAGCAACGTATTATGCGGAGAGTGGACTACATTCAAAAAGAAACGCCTGAATCCGCAACCGGAAGGAACGACACAACATCAAGTTCCGTGAAGACAAATCAAGTCATGGAGACTCCTTTACGTATCTTCGTGCCGTGTGGCATGCTCGGATATGGTTTTAATGCATCCCAGTTCTGGCAAGGCGTTGGTCGCAATCCTGTTGCCATTTGTGCTGATAGTGGATCTACAGACTCTGGCCCGCAAAAGATCGCAACTGGATGTAAGTGGTCTCGTTTTCTACGCTTCGTACGAGCTTGCGTACGTCTGGTTGTGATTTAAAGCTCATAATCACTCACGTCACACCATTTCTTTCTGATGTGTAGCAATGACTGTCCCCCGTGAAGCATACGTACGCGACTGGAGTCTGCTCTTGGAAGCTTCATGGAAGTTTAAGATCCCTGTATACGTGTCTTCAGCTGGTGGTGCTGGTATAAATTCTCATGTTGCCAATTTTTTGGAGATTGTCAAGGAGATTTCAGAAACGAAGGGCTATAACTTCAAGGTTGCTACTATTGAAGCTAAAATTCCCAAGGATCTTATTCATGACAAGATCAGACGTGGGTTGGTGTCCCCGTGTGGACCACTGGTCGATCTAACTCATGAGGAGGTTGAAAAGTCTCCAGAAGTCGTTGCTCAAATGGGCGCAGAGCCTTTCTTGAAAGTGTTTGAAGGTATTTTTATATGACTCTGAAGAGTGATTTTGTGTTTGTCGTGACGTTGTCTGAAAACGAAGCTCAGAAGTACAA